AAACATAAACAATTCAATATTTTGCTTCCGCGGAAACGCACACGTTTACTCTGCTTTAAAAAGGCACAAGAAGGCGACTAACTCAGACAAATACTAATAACAAAAGCTTTTAGGTTGCATTCTGGTGGCCCATTCGTTTACACAAATACAAAACGGGCTTTTATTTAGCTAAAAATACACATGTCTTTACATAATACAGTAGGACAAACTGACCTCCATATCTTGATAAAACTGATTCAAGATCAGTAAATAATTTCCACCGAAGCAATTACGTTTTCACAGCAGNGTGAATATATATTAATCTAAAAGTTCCACCACTCTTGCCGAAGAAACTAAATGATATAGAATACATAAATATCTGTTATACATATTGAATATAATTTAGTTGCCTTTAATAAAATCTACGCAACAGAAAAGATCAATCAGATGTGATAAGAATACTCAATAACTAAATATTGATGTCGCTTGTACGGTACGACCTACAAGCGGGCTATGCATTATCTATATTAATCATCATTGCTCAGGTAGAGAATGCTGTGACCTATAATCATTCCAACAACCAAAATGAGTTTCTTTATATATAAAAGAACCAATTGTAATTCAGAACGTTCTCAGAAAACTATTGAACTGCGTTCCACGAAAGCTTCTTTCAGTAGAGGGTCTAGCAACGCTCACGTTGCGTTACTTGTTATCTAAAGACAAGGTCATGATAATGGTATCAAAGATATACATAAACAAAATCATTATTAATTGTTTGCGTGCTCAATCACTCAAAGCATCTATTTATCTAAGCCGTAGGTATTTTATCTAATGACAGAAATTTTCGATAGACGATACCCATGCCTCTTTTTCGAATATAAAAACGTATAAGCGATGAAAAATTTAATTTTTTTCTTAGATACCAAGTATAAAATGAACTTCGATACGTATTTTTCGCGGAATTTCTTACATTTTGGATATATTTTCAAACTGATAATTTCGTTGTGCGTTGCACATCACTGAAAAAACTTTCTTCCAGTCATAAATGGAAATGAATCGGCACTGGAGCAGCAGTAATAAATTCTTTAGAATAAAAAAGTTGTTTCTGATAAATACAGGGATAAACCCTTTGTAGAAACGCGGATGGTGATCAACTCTGATCCGTAGAATGATAAACCCGTCATAGGAAAGTGGACGACGATCAACCCTCAACCGTGCATTGATAAGCCCTTTTCAGCTCATTGTAGGTACTTCAGCACTTAACTGTGTATGGATAAACCTTTCAAAAGTGAACACAAGGCAGATTAGTTTTATCCGAAGGATAATATACCCTATAATTCAATGGAGTGAAGAATCAACCTTTACCAGTAGAATAATATATTGATTATCCAAAAGAAGAAAGATAAACCTTTATTGGCAGCCTGATAAACCCTTTGGTAAAACAAGTAAGATGATAAACCTCAGACCGTATCATGACATACCGTTGTCTCAATACCGAACATAGCGGCGGCGCCAGGAATTCAGACTAGGGTGGGCTCAGGCCTACTAAATTTTATACAGGGTGGGCTCAGCATTATTGAAACTTTACTCACTAAAAATGGTAATCAAAGCTGTTTTCAGCTCTTAATTTTATCAAAGAATTTTCATTTCTATATTGAATAAACAATATACATGTACATATAGAGAGAGAAAAAGCTTGAATATTTATTTTCAAAAGTTTCAAATAATCCTAACATAATAAAATTCTGCTGTTCTTATGATTTCGTGCAAATTTATCTACTACTTGTTCATAATCTATAAAAATGTCACGCTCAATAGCCAAAAGTGTTAAGTCACTTAGGCGAGCGTCCGACATAGAATTACGAAGATAGTTCTTTATTATTTTCATCTTTGAGAATGAACGTTCACATGTCACTTGTGAAACTGGCATTGTAATAGCATTTTTGACCATTGATATTGTTTGTGGAAATGCAGTAGAATATGGAATTAATTCTTTGAAGAATTGAATAACATCATCTATTGTTTTCGACTTGAACATTGATCTAACAACAGCAAATTCATTCTTTAAGCTACTTGGATCAACATTGACATGACGACAAAATGCATCAACATCTTCACTGTTCAAAAAGTTTTCACTCTCTGGATAGACCGTAGACATACTCTTCATTAATGTTAATGTTTTTGACGAAAATCTATCATTTAACTCTACCAACATACAATCAATCAAAGGAAAATAAATCTTATTCATAAAATCGGTTGATGTAGACAATATTTCACGTTGTCCGACAGTTGAATTAATAAAACAATCTTTGAATCGAACTGGAATTGTTGTTTTACGATTTATATGATATTGTTGTACTAAATCAATTCCATTTGAATCACAAAACTGTTTTGCTGTATCATATATTTGTTTGTATGATTGTTCATTACGAAGATCACTTATTTGTTGAATAATTGATGTTATAAGATGTTCACCACGTACATAATCTATAGAAGAGCCTTTGAAAAAAAAACAATCATAGTTTTTTCAGATTAAGAGTAAAAACAAAGATCTTATCTTACTCTTTAAATGATCACTCAATACTTTTATTAATCCAAATATTTTATGAAGAATGAACGATGTGATAATAAAAATAGACTTTTCTAGATGCATTAAAAGTCCACCAGCATTAACTGAACGTTTTCCATTACCCTCTTCACCAATATCAGAAAGAGCTTTGATAATTGCTGGATAATTATTAATAATGGAATCAATAGATTCCCATCGAGAATCCCATCTGGTCAAACCCCATAGTTTCAATGTCGAAGATTGATCTTAAATATCAGAAAAATATCAAAAAAACATTTTATTAGAAACAAGTGTGATAATTACTTAAGTTTAATTCTTGTTGTGCTTTTTTAAAATATGTATTAGTTACACCAGATTCGGTAAAAAATGAATGAATATTTGAAAGAATTGAAAAATAATCTAATATATAATGAACAACTTTACATGTACCATTAATAACAAGATTTAGTCGATGAGCTGAGCAGTGAATATATATTCCATTAGACATAAATTCTTTTAATAGAACATGAAGTCTAGCATGACATCCAGACATGACACTAGCACTATAAATGAGCAACAGAAACAAAGTGCTTACTCCTCCTTAGTTTTATCAATGCAAATAAAATAACTAACCCATCGAAACATAAAGAGATGCATGATTGTAAAGGAATATTAAACTCATTTAAAAACTGAACAATTTTATTTGCTAATGCTGGTGCATCAAATTCCTGTAATGGAAGAAAACCAAGAAAATAGTCTTTTACTATATTTGAATAGTCATTTTTGTTAATATCTTGGTCATGAACAAATCGAATTACAATAGATAGTTGTTCAGTACCACTTATATCTCGAGATTCATCAGCCATTAATGCATAATTATGATTGTTGACCTATAAAGGCCAAAGTAATTTAATCATAACAGAATCATAAAATGTAAACTCACCATAGATGAAATTTTATCACGTACTTGATTAGCCATAATGTGAATTAATTCATTTTGTATATCATGACTCAAGTAAGTAGCATTACCTGCAGAATCTTCTAAAACTGATTTTACTACAGGATCACTTACTGCTGCCCAACGAAGAATTTCAATAAAATTTCCTTGATTTGAACTTCTATAAATAACAGAAAACGAATGAAAGATATGTTTAAAAAGTTTTTATAAAAACATACTGTGAATTTTCCCTATGACCCCTAAAACTAATCATTTGACGTGTTAGAAAATGTAACGTTGAACATATTTTTATAAGACGATCACGATTTTTACGAATATGAATAACTCGACCAGCATCTAATTGATTAATAACATTTGAATTATTTCGTTGTCGAAAAACATATGATTCGTAATTTTTGGTAGAAGTTATATGTATTTGTGACTGAGCATGTTTTAATAAACCACCATTAGTTTCTAAAGATCTTTTCCAATTGTTGAATCCAGTTGTGGTAAAAGAATCGTAATTGATCGATCGATTATAAGAAAAATGACGACAATAATAACAATAACACTTGTTGTTTTTGATAGAATATTCCAACCAAGGTCTTTCTTTATACCAACTTGATTGAAATGAACGTTTATCGGTGTTTCGTGGATACGTTGTCAATTTTGGTTGAACAGGAAGATCACTACATGATTTACTAATATCATCAGGCATAGCTTCTAACTGAACAGTTTTGTTTGAAGAATCATCAATAAGAGATGATGATAGAGTGATAAAATTATCATCTGATGCATTTTTTTGATTATCAGAAGAAGTAGAAGAAAGGTTTTGAGCATCAAATGATGAAAATTGAATGGTAGAATTAACATAAGATACATTTGAGTTAGCAGATGATGAGAAAGGAAGATCTTGAGGTTCACATGATGATGAGTTAATAACATCCAGTTCCATTTCTTCTTCATTTGTACGTGGCTTCTTTGTAAATGAATGAAAAAACGACTCAATTGTTCTACGTTTTTCAGGCTGCATTTTAGGAGATTGTGTTTTACTTTAAGTAAGTTTTTGGTGTGATTATTAATAATCATCCAATAGAAAATAAGAAAAGATCTTAATGATAAACTAGCCGTAGTATCTGGCGACATCATTCGGACAAAATATCATCGATTTCCTAAAATCTAAAAAAATCCCAGGGTGGGCTGAGCCCACCCTGGCCCACCCTTGGCGCCGCCACTAACCGAACATTGGTATACGGTTAAACGTTCAACAACAGACGCTTACGCTGAAATACCTTCGTAAAAACGCTTTCGTAAATGTGATGTACCCGTTAAATGCTCGTATACCCTTTGGTTGATAAACACAATGTTCAATATACCTTTGAAGGCTTTATCAGCACACCATAAACCCTTGAAGAGTTTATCAGAAGAAATAAACAGTACAAGGATAGATCATTCAACGGATTTTTTTTTCAGTGTAGTTGAAACCATTTTCTATTTAATATTACACGTTTTCAAACATTCACTTATATTATAGGCATGGCTGGTTTCTTGTCAACCGTCACACCTGGTTATTATGGGCCACATGAAAAAACGGTGCAGCGTGCTTTGAAACGTATGTACACCAAGAGCGTATTGGAATTGCAAAAACAACTGAAAAATATTCAATGGGTATCGATAACTACGGATCTGTGGCGGAGGCCGAAGAAAAACCACTACCTATGTGTCACAATTCATTTTGTCGATCAAAACCACAATTTTACTTCAAAAGTTCTGAGCTTTCAGAGATTCCACGGCAGGCATTTTGCTACACGTGTTCGTGTTCATTTGTCAAGAGTAATAAAAAGGTAAATAGACTTTTCATTATAGTTCAGTTTAATATTGAAGCTGGCTTTTTATATAAACAGAAAATGTTCTTGAGTAATAAAACCTAATCACACATGAATTAATTTCACAACAAATCCCTAGTGAAGAAGAATTTCAGCTAAAATACAAATCTCCTTTTCAATGAGTTATGATTTAAAGGAATCTGAGTGAAAGTAATATATAAATTATCGAAAATATTATAACGTGTAGATGTATGATAGATAGTAATGGATCCTTGTTGTATTTGTGATCCAAAGACAGTGATAATTCACGATAAGATGCAGCCTATTTATCACTAAATGACATGTTTTATTTATCGTCTTAAAATTTTGCTTTATCTTCACATATATATTATAAATGCAAACTGAAAACGATTTAATTGTTTACGTATTTAGATTTGGTTTACAGTCAAAAATCGTTGCTACAGTTACTGATAACGGCAGCGACATTCGCTCAGCTACTCAACTACGAAAAGTTTTTGGTGTTAGATTGTATTGCGTCGCTCACGCTTTGAATTTAGTAGTTAAAAAAGGTCTTGGCTTATGGACGACCACTAACAAAACACGACAAACAACTTCAGATTCGAATAAGTATAAAACTCTTCGCAAAAATAATTCATTTTCGCTCGTCAGATTTGTAAATTCAAGTAGAACCGAAAGTTTTATTTGCAGACTTAAACAAACTATTTATTCTCCTACCTATTGGAAAATATTATGAATGAATAATTCTTTCGTAATAACAGACAAGAGAAAACTGCGCTTATTTTCCAATAGGGGATTAACTTTCAATAGCTTTTCTGTAACTTAACATGAGTCATATAAATATATAATAGTGAATTGCTTTGCGTATAGCAAGGAGGAAACAGCAGACTCCAGGCATATTGGAGTCCCTTGAAATCTACTGGAGTCTGCTGTTTTCCTCTTGGCGTATAGTTATCAAATTCAAAAATTAAATATTAAATCGAAAACATTTTCTTGAAAAGTAATAATAAAGCAAGGTTTCAATATAATACTCATGAAATCGTTGATTATAGTAGAGAACTTCATTTTTATAAAAGAAACATTAAATATCTCTTGTATAAGTTAATTATTAAAAATATTATCTCCTGTACAGGTCATAAACTAATGACGAATCGAATTGAGATGAATTGGATGAAATCTGTTTAAGATATACTATTACTTGTTGTAATAGAAACAAGGTAAATCCTTGTGGATTAATCTTAGATATAGAAGCTTATATTTCCCTATGTCATCATGTGTCTTCGAAAGTGCTATGAAATGCTATGAATGTTAAAGATCAGATATAACATCACGCGCGCGTAACTGACTATCTTGCTGATGCTTTGTATGCTCATTGTTAACAATTTCTTTTCTTTCATCTGAAATTTTAAACTATGTTTTTAATTTTTCGCAGATCATCAAAAAAATCCGCAAATGATAGCGATGATGTTGCAATAGCACAAGAGGAAGAAGAAGAAGAAGAAGATGACGACGAAAAAATGGATGTTACTGATGATGATGATGATTATGAAGAAAATGTAGAAGAACAAATGGAAAGTCAAAGAATCGTAAGAAACTCAGATGTCAATAACTCCGCAAGTTCGAATACTCATCAACAAGCAATTGAATCAGATGATGAAGATACTGTTGAATCACCAAGAGATGAAACAGATATTATATCATCAGAAGATGAAACGGACGAAGAAACTGAAGATTTATTAAATCCAAACTTCGACATTGAAATTATTGGCCGCATTTTATCAAAATGCAGGAAGTTTGTTAATGTTGTTAATAAGTCCAGTATTTTATATGAAATGCTTCAAGCTATGGCTCGTCCAAATATCAGAGTTGATTTGGTAGTTGACATGGAAATAAGATGGAGTAGTACTTATAAAATGATATCTCATTTACTTGCATATCAACCAATCTTACCCAATTTTTACAGAAATCTTTCAAAGACCAATGGAGTTTCAGCCAAGAAACAAACACAATTAATTAATTTACAAATGTCAAATGAAGAATGGACAATGCTATCCACACTTTCTGAATGTTTATCGTACTTTGCCGAAGCGACTGAAATGTTATCCGCCAGCAAATATCCATCATTTGGTTTTACATATGTAGTGCTCGATTCACTCCAACATTATTTAAACAAAAATAGTTCATCTGATATGGAGCTGGTTATGAAAAATGCAATCAAAGAAAAGTTCGATCATTATATGAATTACAAAGCTAACTCAGAAGAACATAAAATGCTTTTGGTAAGTTTCGAAAAATAAGATGGAACGAGTTACGTCTCATATAACGGTTAGACTCTAATTTCTCGGACAATCTCTACAAGAATATAAGGTTCAAAATACAATTAATGCAGAAGACTCGAATTGCTAGGAAAATCTTCAAAAAATGAGAAACTTTTATATTAATCAGAACAAAATCAATAAATATTGACGAAAGTGACTTTCTTTTAAATATAATGCCTGCTTGAGTACAGCGTGACTGCAAGATTATTCATATGCTTGCTATGAAAACTAGCTATGTATACAAGTTCGAAAATATTCCGTATTATCTGATAGAAAACATGATTGTGCACATCAATAATTCTACATCAAAGCAACGCAATTCACTTAGGGCATAATATTATCCCAACTATACCAAGAAATTAATAGAACAATTTGTTTATAAAAAAAAGGCTTTATACGTGATTTGCTCTTTTTCTTTTAAGATATGTGCTTACTTGGATCCAACTGCTCATCAACTGATGACTGATGAAGACAAACGGGCAGCAAAACAGTTCCTCCATGTCGAGTTGAAAAAAATGGGCAATACTGATGTCAATTCAAATGTAGATATATCATCTTCGTTTACTTCTGATTCAAGTATGCAAGTAGTTCCTTTGCCAACAACAACCACAGCAAGTGCTTTCGACCGTTTGAAACAATTTCGTCGAAAATGTGGCATTATTGATGATCCAAGTGATATTGTGGGACATAAAGATTTATCATTCAGACAAGAATTTGCTAACTTTGAGGCGTATAAGAAAGATGACTTTTCTTTTTCAACCTTTTGGCGAAAATATGGAAGTTCATTACCGAAACTAAATACAATGGCGTGTCGATATGGTACTATTCCTGGCACTTCGGTGNCCGCTCGCCACCAGTAATACTGGCAGACGTAAAGATCTATCATTCGGCCAAGAATTTGCTAACTTTGAGGCGTATAAGAAAGATGACTTTTCTTTTTCAACCTTTTGGCGAAAATATGGAAGTTCATTACCGAAACTAAATACAATGGCGTGTCGATATGGTACTATTCCTGGCACTTCGGTGCCAAGTGAAAGTTTATTTTCCATCGCTGGGTACGTGGCACGTAAAACACGCTCTTCTCTTTCTGCGAAAAACTTAAAATATACAATGTTCCTTAAGGATAAAATGTAACTTTTTGTCCACAGATGAGTCGAATTCAAATTCATAAGATTCTGTTTTATCTAACTTATGTATCTAGATTTTTGCTAATATTGATGCTAGTTATGGTTTTATACGTCTTTTATTCGAAGGATTTTCTATTATATCTCTTTTATTCTTTTTCAAAGCGTTATCACAAATGAATTGCACTTTTATTTCTGTTTCTTATTCAAATAAATACGTTTTTATTCTTAATATGTGCTCAACACAAACTATATAATTACAATATCGAATGTTGAGTTGAGCGTGTGAAGATAATAGTCTCAAATTATTTCGAAAACACTTTTGGATTATTTTTTTCAAAAGCACATATCTGACGAAGGACGCATGCCAACTATAATTGTTGAACGATAATTCAGAACTTATAAACCGATGCTTCTCTACCAATGAAGTAACTTATAAAATAGTCCATTTAATCTCTTTGGTAGCAGATTAATAAGCACGCACCATTCATATATACTCTAACAAAGTGACACTTTTGATCATTATAATGTTTAAATGAAAAAGTAGTTTTCTGCAGAAAACTTAAATGTTCGTACAGAATATTCGAAAGTATTTTCGAGGTCCTTGATGATGAACGTGGTTCACTTTTACTTCTTCAGCATAATTATGAATGCTCTCGAATCACTGTAGAGTTTGAAAGAAAATGCTAACAGCTATAATATCCAAATATGTAATTAATTACATAAACCGCTAGTGCCAATCGATAAATAAGAGCATATAGTAGCGAACGGATAGATCATATACAAATGTGCTTATAACCTGCCAAAAATGTAAAATGAGACCTAGTGAGGATAAGTCAGTTCTTGTCAAAGAACTGGTGCGTGCAGATCAGTTCCGTTCAAAACAGAGGTAGGACAACTACACGTAAGGTGCACGCAATGCAAAAATCGAGTGAAATTTATTTTTATTTTTTTTGCACATGGTTTGATAGAGCGTGAGCCGCTGATCACGATGCACTACTTTGTATTCCTTTAATAAGCTGTTTTGTGGTCAAAAATCGCAAAATCCTTGAAAAAACCGACTTTTCTCAAAAACGAGGTTTTTGGACGAAAATTGCAAAAACCACTGTGTTCTCGTTCTTGAAACTTCTTGAAAATGTTTTTTTCGGATTCAGCATCAAAAACTGAGTCTGGGGAAACGTCTAGAAATATTATTGACCGGAAATTCTTCTAATGGTGACATTTTTAGTATGTGTGACTACACTAAAAATAGGTGGATCTTGTAAACCTAACTACTTTTTCTAGAGAGGTGCGAGAGCGAATTTTTTTTTTCATTTTAATCAGCATGTCACCCTCCATCAAACTACGCATCGCTTTTGTCTTGATCTATTTTCTTCGTGGAGAAAAGTCCATTTTACTGGCAGCATAGGAAATCGGGGAGGTCATTCCGATATAACACATCCATTTTTCATCCAAATCCAATGGAAATTTTTTTCCAATGATAAAACTCGATGCCAAATTGAATGAGCATCCTCCGAAGATGTATCTCCAGTAATAGGTTTTCCAATGGCTTTCTAGAAATCCTCTTTTTATATTGCATACAGCCGCATGTATTGTAATGTAATTGATATTTTCGTGAGATGATATCACGTATAGCATCCACTTTTCGCTGGTTTATGAGAATACTGGATTCGTTATATAACTCTAGATCACTTGTACATACTTCATGTAAGATTGATCTCTGTACTCGCACTATCTTTTCCAGGTTATGTAATCATCTTCCTTATATTCGTACTATGGTCTCTAGGTGTCGTAGTCACTTTGTATATATATGTTTTAATGAAATCTAGGTCTCTTGCTGTTCGTCGCTCGCGCCTTATAAATAGATCTGTTTCATCTGAAATAAACACACAACATCTCAGCGATTCTTTCGTATTACTGCAGCTATTTATCCATTATGGTTCATTATTTTCCCATGCCTAAACCAAACCGACGAACTCTCCAATCACGTAGTGCATCAGCTCGTCGAGGGGAAAATGCAACGATTCCAAGTCCATCTGATTTTCCAAATGATGATTATCATATGGAGGTTGACAATTTAAAATTAGATTTCATGGAGAAACTAACACTTTCAAGTATTGAAGATCTGGCTGAAATGTGTCGTTTACAATGCGACAGAAAATATCTTAGTGTATTACTCTACATGTCATTACGATATTTTTAAATTAAATGGGATGATGCTGAGGAATATCTAAAAAGTATAGGTTTTATGACAGCAGAAACTTCACACAAATGGGCTAGCATGTTTCTGGACAGTGATCATACTGAATTTATACGTGACTCACGTGGCGGTAAACACTCGGATTCGTTCTATGATACGTATCCTGAGATCGAGGCCGATGCCAAAGCCTTTGTTGCAGACAAATGTTCACAAAAATCAGGTGAATTTAAAGCAATAGATCTGGCCCGATTTATTAACAAACAATATTGTGATTTAAATGACATCGATGAACAAGCTAGTGGTGGTTATATAAGATCGGAAAGAAGTTCCCAATTAGATCTNATAGAAAGCACATTTTCTTCGATCTCGTTGAGAAAACGGGACAAGGAAGAAAAATATTTCCAACCAATGGTTTTTGAGAATCATCATCTACTTCTCAAATTTTATTTAGAAAAAATTCAAAATGATTCATTAAAACGATCAAACCAATCATAAATTTGTTCTTCAGTATATATTCTTCGTTGATCAATGTTTGTGAAAACTTTCATTTATCTAGGTCACATTCCTCGTGTTTATGTCGTTTCATGGCAAAAGAGTGACCACGATCTAAAGGAATATTTCATCAGAAGCTGATTATTCATTTAAATGCAACGCTCAGTCCTATAACATTGGTCTCAGTAGGAACGACGTAATACATACGCCATGTGAAAAATGACATAAACATAAATGATACGTATGGAATACCGAAGGGCAAAAGTATCGAGACAAAGATAATGATGTGCTTCATCATTCTCAGTTCTTGTTATGCATAAAACAAAGCATTTACATCTGTGATTGTATTCCGAATTGATTTCATATAGAATATTAGTCGAAAGTAAAGAGATGAAGGAAATGCGTACGCATAGAACACGATCCATATGACGAATCTCTAGAAGAAAGAGGAAAAAAGAAATCTATCTGTTGTCGTTGAAAACATTTAGTTAAGTAAAATAATGACGGAAACGCGTCAATGGAGTCGCTGACTTATGACTATGATTTACAGAAAAGTAAAATAGACGAACAGAATGAGAATGACGTATTTGTTTCTATAATAGAAATGAGAGGATAGTTTTATCTGGGAAAGAGATATCTCTGACATAGATGAGCGTAAAATCAGTTTTGGCAACCTTTTTCGGTAAATATGTTTTTATACACTTTAAGTACTTTCTATTTCTAAATATAAAACTAAAGTTATCTTTTGAGAATATCGTTCATAAGTTGCTTGTGCTTTTGCAGAACTCAGTGTGATTGTAATGGAGGGTACGTCTCTTTCTTCAGTAGCCAATACTTCGAGAATATCATCAAACTTGTCTGCAAAAGTCAAATCTTATCTCCGAAATTTAAATCTGTTTCCATCGATTCCACCATCGACAAATGAATATCGACTTCGAAGTGAACGAATCGCAACACGATTATACATTATTCTCTTGATGTTATCATTATATATTCTTGTCATCTACACTTCACTAATTACTGTTACAGAAATTGTTGCTGTTTCCGCATCAGAGGTAGGACAAGTACACGTACACAAAGTACACGTACAAGTACTTGTACGTGCATGGATATACCTGTACTTGTACTTCTAGTAGAGTACTTTATACGTGTATTTCAACCTCCGAAGTGATACAAAAATAGATCAATGGGATTACAGGATTCATTTGCCCATTTTCTTCGCTATTCTCAAAGAGAAGCCCTTGGTTACCTGTACCAATGTTGGGGTAATCGAGTACGGTCTATCATTCTAGTATAGGTAACCACGGGTTTTCCCTTGAAAATAGGCGAGAAACCACTATCTGTGCTCGGATTGGTCGATTTCGGCTAATCAGGGATGACCGCGATTTTTTTTCAAAAACTTATTTTCGCTGGAAATTGACTAGGGACGCCTTATATAAGCATGTTTCTTTGACCTCGAATTCTGATTGGTCAATTTCCGCCAATCAGCGATGACCGCTATTTTTTTTCAAAAGCTTATTTTCGCTGGAAATCGATTAGGGACGNTTCCTTTCAAGGAGGCAGTGTTTTACTCCGGTTGTGCGATATTAACCATGGACCTTTGAGTTTTCGTTCATGAATCTATAGATGCGGAGTCAGAATGGATCTACAATTGCGTCTGAAGTAATAGAAGATGTTTTTTATGCGTTGATCACTTAATTAAGTGGAAATTAACGGTTAAGTGTAACGCGTTAATTGTTAATATTAACGTTAACATCAACCGTTAACGTTAATTTCAAATTAACGGAAATGGTTCATCTCTAGGACCTTATAGTATAAAGTACTCTACTAGAAGTACAAGTACATGTACAAGTACAAGTACAAGTACAAGTATTTTCTGGCAAGTACAAGTATAAGTACAAGTACTCTGAGCTAAGTACAAGTATTTCTACGTTGTACTTGAAAAGTACAAAAAGTACAAGTACATGTACTTGCGTCCTACCTCTGGTTCAAAAGAACTCTTACATAGTTCCCATGATTGGAACTAATATGGAACTGTCCTAGGCCTAGTCAGCCTACTCATTTTAAAAATTAAATTTTGACGGCACCAAGTTTGGGTGGTGGTCTCAAGAACCCTCTCTTAAGATCGATGATCTTTTTGATGCTGTTGAAGAAGTCAACCGTCATGGAAATTTATCGAAAACCAAAAAAAGGTCAAATCGTCTTGGTTGAATTAATCAATAATGAATACAAATGTCAAGGTCGTGGTGGCATGAACATTACCGAGACCGAAAATCTGTTCTCATGCAATGATTGTCGTTGTCGGGTATCAAAAGAACGGAACGTAGAAGACTTTTATGTGAAACTAAAAATATTCACATTTACTAATGAAGAGTACAATCTTAAAGCAACAACAGAGACAATATCGACGTTTTTGAACGATATTGTTCAGCCGAAAAACAATGATAAAGTTTCCGTCGGTGTGAACGAAAACTTGAATCTGCTCGTTGGTGTAAATACTCAGTTCGTTTTTTATCAGCACACTGATTTCATTAATAGTTTTCAAAGAATCAATGAAGAGAAGCAAACCAAACAAGGTAATGTTCATTTGTATTCGTTCATGTAATACAATCCGACTTTGATCTTTATTCACTTAGTAGGACTATCTACATGAAAAACCATCTGGTTTTACAATATGATTGAGAATCCAATACAATCATCAACTTATAGAAAAAGCTAATTGCATCTTTGTTTACGATCTTATCGTTTCTGCGAATAAAGATTGGTTCTATTTTATCTTAATAAATTGTTTCAGATCTCGATATTCACAATGACTATCAACTGAAACAACTTGTACAAATATTTCACTGTGACTACCTTGCCAGCTCGATCATTCCATTACTGTTAAGTTTGCATTCCTGTGCTTTTCCAATGCTACTTGGCCATCGAATTTTTTTCGCTCATACTAATCGGATGTGCAACGATATATCTATGCATTTTGCATAAATCCCATCCGGTTTTCACACGAATAAATAAATAAACGTATAGCTCAATCAACATACTGTTCTCTCTGGAATTACAAATGCTGACTATCATGTCCAATAGGTAATAGCTGATTACATGATGCAATGCGTCATTGTGATTGAAAGCTTCTCATTTTCAACTGTACCATTTAGAAAACCAAACAACTCCGTTCTATATTCTATATAGGATAAAACTCATTACGACACAAAGGCTCTTCTTCTGCCATATGAATTAAGCTAAGAAAGCATCTCGCATTAATGTTTACCGTGAATTTAACCATTATCATTATGATTAATAAAAAAAATTAAGTGTACATATATTTACTATAAAGTGGACTCACTAAAATCAATACTCAGTATACAAGCAGTTGTTTACTCTGTCGATTAGGGTTAACTTTCTATAGCAGCTATCACTGCATACTCGGCTCTACTTGTATTTCTCTGATAGTCAAACCATCGGGACCCTTCGTGAACGCCTAGCATCATGTTTCACTCAGGTCGCTATACTAATGCCATACTACATGTAAATAGGAAAAGTTGTTTAACGCATGCACCATAATTAAATCAATCGATTGTCAGACTTTGCCGAACAAAACATGAATCTTTTACTCACTAATTTGTACAAATCAATTGGAAATTACAGAATGTCTCATGAAAATACGCAAAGGCCTGTGCGATTCTATTTATTCGTTACACTGCGATGGTTCTCAAACATGACATATTCTCCGTAACTAATGAACTTTTTCTGATCCGACTATACCTTTACATAAAAACCGAACATACCCTTAAATAACGTTTTCTTACAAAGATTTCCAAAACGAGACAACTCATCAACATCACATATGCACTAGTTTGCTTGTCAAATAAAAAACAAAAATATCAATCACTTTGTTCGCAACATTCTATAAAATAATAAAAAAAGCAATAAATTTGAACTTCTGTTCAGTTGCACAATCGTTTCTCAAAATCAAACTGACAATATTATTCAAAAACTTATAAATTTACTTTTCACGATAAAATATTTCTCTTAAAAAGCTGGTGGGGGATGTGAGTTCCACATTTTAGCCCCGAAGGGGCTACGCTGAAAGCTTTTTTTCTACATTTCCGTTTATGGAATTCATCAGTACTTTTTCTCTAAGAAGCACTCAAAATACATTTAGCGGATGCAGATTTTCAGGGAGAATTCGGATAAATAGTTTCCATGAATTAAACAAACTGAAAAAATCGGAGATTTTGCAAAAAGTATTAATAGATCCGATTTTTGTATGAAGAAATGAACTATTGAGCACTATCAAAAACAGTGTTTTTTTTCAAGAAAAAGATTGAAAAAAATATTAAAACATATATGTTCTGACTCAGCTCTATCAGCTCTATCTAACTATATGAAAGAAAACGAGAAAAAATTTGCTTGACTTTTGCAGAGGGTGCACCTTATGACAACCAAACACACTAGCTAAACTGATACAGATCCTTAGCTTTCTATTTCTTTTCGTCTTGCCTATTAACGTCTGGTGGGGAGGAGTATTTGGTCTGTAAGAAAAAGCTAACACATAAATCAAATTTTCTTCAACAAGATATGGGAGGATCTTTAATTTTGGCATAACCTGTGAAAAGAGAATTCATTTATACAAATATTGCCTGAAAAGTATTTGAAAGCGAATTGTTTTTATTATGCTGTAATAGTTACAAGTCGCTTAGAGTTCAATATTCGACAAGTACTCATCACGATGCTGCCGTTGTTATCAGTGATATGTCAGCTGCAACCATTTCCTTCACCAATTCCTACAACACTTCTCAACATATCTCAGGAAAGGGCCCTTGAGCAAAGGTACATACTTTAAATTTGGTCTTTGGTGACCATTTCAACTTTTCTTGAGCTCTTTTTGGATCACCAACTAAAACAGTCTTCACGGATAGCAAATTAGACGGATCTCGTTCTTGTACTAATAAAAAACCTACCATTTCAGTTAAACCAAAATAATTGGGATCAAGAGTGACTCGAGTGATGTTCGTTCCCTTCTCTTTCCCAACTTCGTCAATGCCCTCGCCTTCCCAACTAGAATGTTCACAAACGAAACAATTTCCTGTTCATTTCACAAGATTCTGAACCCATATCATTTACTTACAATATTTCTTGACCAATTTCTTGAAATGCCAGCTCCACGAACTCACGAACGCTGTGCACCTCACCTGTATAGAAAGATTTTTATCGCACAACTACCAGTCACGAACGTGAAAAAGTTCGTTAGTGTGACGTACCGTTTTCAGTTGGGTCTGTGTTAGCATGAATGACGTGATGAGTGTAAAAGAAATGTGGGGCGGCTCGTCCTCATACGCTATTATTGAAGACTTATGGCAAATTCACTGCACTTTTGGACTTTGGTGAAGGCATGGTAAATTTCTATGTGCCGGAAATTCTAATGAAATAATAAGAAAAGATTTCTAGGATATTCAAATATAGTGTAATCAGTTTACGCAATAGGCTACATGTGTAGCATTCAGACAATGATGTTTCCATTTATTGGAGAACAACTTAGCTATCCATTCTTATTCAGGCAGTTTCTTGTCTTCATATCCTCACTAGCCTTAAGGCTAGCGAAGAAAGTCATAGAATCATTCATGCATTATGGATCGGTTCGACATTTAAAACAGTTCTAAGTCAGAACAGTATTACATAATCGTACGATGTCAAATTAGGAAACGTGATTAGTCCACTGAAAAAAAGCGAAGAATACTAAACCATTTTAGGGTTTATCAAAATGCAACGCTAGAAATACCCTTCACTACCGTTTATCAGTGCACACTAAACGTTTGAATCTACCTCCCAAAATACTACACAAAATAGTTTATCATATGAAAATACCCATGATGGAATGGTTTATCGAGCCGTTTACATGCCAGAAAAACTCAAAAAGGGAATTTCTATCCTTGCATTTTCCTAAACGCTTTCTGATGGTTTTTCAACTTTTAAAACCCTTTGACTCCATGAGGAGGTGGAGAATCTCAAATTATTACCAGTTTTCGCGAACATCTCTTTGTTAATACTTCAGACTATGTTAGAACTCATTCATCTAGTTTGGTCTTAGTGGAAACTGTCGTCGCATATCGCACTTCAGATATTTATTTCTCTATCAAAATTTCCAAAATCTATTATAATCCAAAACATTCGACAGTACTTGTCTATCTATATCTTCTAAATCATGCAGACATCCAGATATCAGATATTTACTTCCGTGTGAAAATTTCAAATTTTTATTCTCTTGTAAAGAGTTCGCTAGTAATTGTCTATGTAGATGTCTGAAAGCTGGGCAAATATAAGATATTTACTTTTCGCTGAACGTGCCCAAGCGAGAACGACTGGTGAGGGATATCATAGGTAATGTCATACATTATCAGAATCATTCATATATTACGTTCTTCATCTCTTCGTAATATTTATTGTTATCTTTAACCCAAATCATTCGGTTTACTTATTATTTGAAAGTTTGACTAGTAAAGACTGCTGATTGGGTCGGGTAAATACGATAAATACGTAAGAAATTTCCGAAATGATATCATCATGGTAATAGTGAATTGTGATAGTCGTCTGTAAAAAAGTGTTTTTGATCTATAAATAGACAGGCGTAATATGTAACAAAAGAATGACAGTCGATGCGGAAATATGCAATGTGCCTAGAATATAGTATTGCATACGCTGCTGAAAGTGTTAGGCTAGATGCTATTTTCGTTACATTCTATTACTAAATACGATAGAAATTTGATGTTCCAGAGCTTTTTGTACGGTATAGACGAAAATAATATTGACTACCCGTCCGCCAATCGTACTTATTCGTCTATCATTCTTTTTCTCACTTTATATAGAATTAACTGACTAAAAGTAATGCATAGCGCTTTTTTCGAAAGCTAGTTTTTAGTTGTCTCCCAGAGGTTCAAAAGCAGTTCAGATATGTGTATGTTTACCTAAAGTGCCGCTTCCCTTATTAAGTTTCGAAAAATCTTATTATATCCGTCATAACAGTTCAAACCAGTAGTCCATATAGAGGCTTTAACGCTCACTATGAATCTGATATTAATTTTTTGGAAAAGTGATTTTTTTTGTTTAAAAAACTACAGTAGATTCTAAACTTTTTTCAAGATGGTACTTTGGATGTTTTCATTAGAATATATCTCGAAAATATGCTGTTACGTATACTATACGATGCATAATTTCATTCTTTAGTAAACAAGGTATTTGCTTCCAAGTTTTGTGACCAGAAATAATACCTTACCTCCTGTGAATTTATCGACTTGCTGCTCATAGTTCGAGTTTTCACGTGGATTTATCGATCTCATTCTTAAGTAGATTATTTAACAATGCCGAGTAGACTACCATTTTAAAAAAATCAGATCGTTCTAAGTATAGAGAAAGGTTCTGAAAAATGACCAACAAAAAAATGTGTCATACACTGAAAAAAAAATCCGTGTAATGATCTATCCCTGTACTGTTTATCTGGGCGGATAAACCTGTGTGGGGTATATTTGCGTATGATAAAGCCTTTCGCGGTTTATCACATGTAGCGTTGATCAGTGAGAGGGTATATAAAAGATCAACGGATACATCAAGGCTATGAAAGGGTATTAATCGCGGTATATCAAAATAAACGTAGACTGTGGAATGCTTTCACAGTACATTTCTCTATCCTATCGAGATACAGGTATATCATGATATGGTTTGAGGTTTATCTTCATACACTTCTTCTGAAGGAGTTTATCATTCTACTCATTAGGGATTAGTTTTCTGCCTTTCGTAAATGCATACAATATTCTACGACTAAAGGTTAATCCATATCAGTATTGATATACAGGGTATATCATCGTGTGAATAATACTAGTGCCTATTGCGCTCGCTTTATAAGGTTTATCATTGTTCGAATGAGGGTTGATCATCTGCTACCTTTCAATCAAGGGTTTATCATTGTCCGAACGAGGATTCATCCTCCTCTACCTTTCAATCAAGGGTTAATCATTGTCCGAATGAGGATTCATCCTACTCTACCTTTTAATCAAGGGTTAATCATTGTCCGAATGAGGATTCATCCTCTGCTACCTTTCAACCAGGGGTTTACCATTGTCAGAATGAGGATTCATCCTCCTCTACCTTTCAATCAAGGGTTTATCATTGTCCGAATGAGGACTCATCCTCCTCTACCTTTCAATCAAGGGTTTATCATTGTTTGGATAAGGATTGATCATCTCCTACCTTTCAACCAGAGGTTGATCATTGCCCGAATGAAGGTTCATCCTCCTGTACCTGCCAATCAAGGGTTTATCAGTATCCGATTGAATATTCATCCTCTGCTACTTGTCAATCAATGTTTTATCATTGTTCGAAGGAGGGTTGATCCTCCTCTACCTTTCAATCAAGGGTTTATCATTGTCCGAATGAGGACTCATCCTCCTCTACCTTTCAATCAAGGGTTAATCATTGTCCGAATGAGGATTCATCCTCCTCTACCTTTCAATCAAGGGTTTATCATTGTCCGAATGAGGACTCATCCTCCTCTACCTTTCAATCAAGGGTTTATCATTGTCCGAACGAGGATTCATCCTCCTCTACCTTTCAATCAAGGGTTTATCATTGTCCGAATGAGGACTCATCCTCCTCTACCTTTCACTCAAGGGTTAATCATTGTCCGAATGAGGATTCATCCTCTGCTACCTTTCAATCAAGGGTTAATCATTGTCCGAATGAGGATTCATCCTCTGCTACCTTTCAACCAGGGGTTTATCATTGTCCGAATGAGGACTCATCCTCCTCTACCTTTCACTCAAGGGTTAATCATTGTCCGAATGAGGATTCATCCTCTGCTACCTTTCAATCAAGGGTTAATCATTGTCCGAATGAGGATTCATCCTCTGCTACCTTTC